CCTCCTCGCCTCTGAGCTGGCGAGCGGCCCCTCTAGGTGGCGTCACCTGGTGACGACATCAGCGGGCGCTCGTCGCACAGCCTGATGCTGCCCGGGCTCAGGGAGACTTTCTGGAGGAGGTCCTGTCCCCTGACCCCGCCACCGCAGGACGGGGCCCTCAGCCCCGCCACGTGGTCATCTGTAACCGGCACCCAGAGGCGGGGGTGGCGGTCGGGGGTTCCCACGGTCTCAGTGTTGCCACGTGACTGCAGGGCCCGGGTGTTATGCCACTACTTTCTGATGCCAGTTTTGCTAAACCAACCTGATACCATGTGAGCACCTTAAACTCTTAACCGCAAGGACAGCTTTCCTCTGCGCCCTCCGGGACCCCCAGTTCTGTTGCCTCCGCTCCTTGCAAAGGGCAGTTTCTAGTTCTTGGCCACGTGGGGTGTGGCTGACTTTTCATTTTAGGTTTGCACGTGGCCATCCTGAATTCTGTGAGGAAGGGGACTCTGTTCTACAGCAAGCCTATGAGCGAATAATCATCCCCATTTTACATCTACTCTCAGACTGAAGTGACATTTCCCCAAGTGGGACTGGATCCTATAAACCAATCCCCACGCTCCACTACACTGAACAAGAATGAGATCGGAGCTCAGCTTTCACACGAGGAGCCACTAGGCTCCTTCAGAACCACACACAATGATGCCACTGGCCCAGTGGCCATGCTGTTTGTGTACTTTTTTTCTTCAAGTATAATTTAAAGTGACAACAAGCACCCACCTCAGTTTTCACACTGAACACTCCCCCACGTCACTCTCCCACATTAGAATTCAGAACATGACAAGCACCCCAGCAGTCTCTCCTCTAGGGCAGTGGTTCTCAACCTTGGCTGCACATTAGAATCACCTAGGAATCTTTTTAAAATCCTGATTTCTGGGCCTCATTAGTTAACAAAGAAACAGAATTTCCGGAGGATGAGGCCCAGAAATCAGGATTTTAAGATTCCCAGGTGATTCTAATGTGCAGCCAAGGTTGAGAACCACTGCTCTAGGCCCTACCCAGTCCACCCCCCTCACACCAAAAGTAAACACGACCCCAATTGCTAACAAAACCTGGCTTTGCCTTTTGAACTGTGCGATGGGATGATGCATTGTGTCCTGGCAGCGTGTCGGGCTTTTCCCTCAACATGTTTGTGAGATGCACCTGTATCGCTGTGTGTAGTTGTAGTTTGTGATGGACTCAGACTCATTCCTTGTGCTGTTGCTGGACAGTGGGTAGTTTCCAGGTTAGGGCTACTACAACCTAGTGCTACTATTTACATATCTACATAGTGGGAACACATGTGCTCAATGCTGGCCACACGGCATGTTATATGTTCAGGTTTAGTAGATACTGCCTGTTTTCCCACACTTGTCCTGATTTATTCTCTACCAGCAGGGTATGGGTTTTTGTTCATGTCCTGGTCAACAGTGGGTACCATCTGCTTTTTGCAGCTCATGTCATTATTTTAAATTAATTTCTCCATTATGGCTCATAATACTTAAGTTCGCTTGAATAGCAGGACATAAGTATTTCCATTAAAATGTTTGTAATCAATGAGAAAGTGGTAAATGCTATATTTTAAAATGGATTACTAAATCACTACTTCTAAGTGATCTTGTAAGAGGTAAGCAAAAAGAAAAAATAATTACACTGACAATCCATTTATGAAATCCTTACTTTAAATGTCTATAAATAAATTAGGAAAAAATTTTCTGTATCTGATTTATAGGGAGATAACGACGCTCAACCACTGAGCCATGCTGGCTGGGCAAGGGATGTGCTTATTTTAAATGGAAATGAATATAGTTTAACTCTGTTGAAGGAAAAAATACCCCCCCTACATATATGTGTAAGTATGAGCAGTGAGAAGGATGAAAAAAGTATATTACACTGTTCACCTCAGGTAGAAATATGACTTCAATTTTACATATTTTTGTTCCATATTCAGAATTACAAGCATTTATTCCTGTGAGTCCTGGAACAGTATCATCATCGAAATTACTAGGGGGGAGGGGTGGGGCGGTTGCTGAAACATGCATTTCCATGAGTGAACAGTTTGTTATTTCCAAGGTATATGACTGGCATCATAACCTATCTCCCAACCTTTCCATTGCCAATTTTGCTACCATGGAAAAAGTCACATCTCCACGTGAGACAATGTTTTTAGGGAAAAACCAGCACACATTTATGTAGGGCAAGGGGTAGATGGCTAGAGGAGAAATGGTGACAGAACCAATGTCAAAGGGAATTGCCCACCACAGAGCTGGGGACACAGGGCCAGTGTAAAGAGGCAGGAAGCAGAAAACGAGAGAACGATTAGGAGTGGCCTGGGGTGGCTGAAACCACATAAGGACCTGGATAGGACTTGGGGGGTGAGCAGCACAGGCCCTGAGGTGAGACAGGAGAGGGAGATGAGTGTGTCAGGGGGCTCCACGCAAGTAATGGGAAACGCCAGGGAGCACCATGTGCCTTAAGAAACCTGCCTTGTCTCAAAGAGCCTCAGCTCTGGAGCCTCTCAGTGACTTGGAATGAGCAATGGCAACTAGGATACTTCAGCAACCTGCAGCCCAGATGGGACAGAGCTCTCAGCACCTGCATGCCAGTCCCTGAGTGCTGCATTCACAGAATGAACATAAGGTTGGAACTAACAAAGCATAATGGCTCCAGTGAAATGGATAAAATAAAGCTTTCTGTGGAAACAACTTTTCTGAATTTCCTGGTGTTAACCTGGAGCTGCCATTAAATTGGCTAAGACAAAAAATTAATCTTTAGAGGAACAAGCAAGGGCAGTGTTCTAGAAAACACCTCTTGCAAATCCACAATAACCAGGGACTTGGTCCCTCACTCTTGATTTTTACATAGTTTGGATTTATCACTAAGCTCTATTTAAGAGGGTTTCTCCTTCACATGCACAGTCCATGCTCCTGAAAGTGCAAATGTCTTATATACAGCACTCTTACCCCAGTTATTTCTACACAGCCTCTTGCTTTTCTCATCAGGTTCAGTAAAAGAAACAAACAAACAAAAAACAAACAAACAAACAAAAAAACAAACAAAAAAAACTGACCAAAAGGACTCATAACCCTGCCCAGGCCAACTCTGCTTTGCAGTTGTACCCAGGAACTAGCATAGATTCCTTAAGAAACAAGGTATCTGCTTAAAAATGCAAATAGATCAGTTTTGGGCATGCAGATCTCTTGATGCAGTGAACTGCATGGCAGGCAAGATACCCCTTGTCCTTTTAATGAAAGTTTCAAAGATGTTTAACATTTTATTTTAAAAATAAAATTGATTCATAAAGTGTAAGGACAAATGATTTCTATCCATCTTCGACAAGCTGTTGGGAACAGAAAGAGAAAAAAGAGAGAGAAATAATCATTAACTTCAACTTATCCTATTGTAGAGCTAAAACATGAACTACAAGACCTGGTGTTACAGGTAAGAAAACGGACACCCTGAGCGCCTGCACAGCCCCGATGAAAAGCCAGGACTAGATTCAAGGCTCCTGACTTCCAGGCCCTTCTCCTTTCCATTCTGCCAGGCTGCGGATCACCCAGGGACTCAGACTGGAGAGTGCAAAACACGGATGCAAGGACTATGGTGCTAACAAGGACTACGGTGCTAACAAGGACATTGCTGAAAAGACTGATGAGAAGGGAACGGGTGTCAGGGACACCTCGGTCCACTCTTTCTTTTTTCCTTTCGCTTTCCCCAGTATTTACACTTTAAGTTGAATGCTGCGACATTGCACGTGGTAAGTAATTCCCAGCAAACACAGGCAATGAACTGAGCTAAGACACCAGTGCAAGTTACTGGGGAAAACAAAGCTCCCTCCTCTTCTGGTGTCCGTGGGAGCAAGCCACCTCCTGTGAGCTGCCCCAGACCCCCGCCCCACTCCCAAGTCTCTCCTAGACTTCGAGCCGCTGTAAGCACTGCTCACCGGCACTGGGCACTGCGGAGGAGCCTGGCTCAGGCTGGAGGTCCCCC